TCAGATAGAACACTTATTAAAATTGTGCACACAAATTAATCCATACACAGAAACGTGAACAAAAGTTTATGAGGCATCTGTTTTACCGTAACAACTCAATTTGACATGAGCCTAAGGCGAAGACGGTACTCAAGAGCTGGTACACTGTTGGTGAAAATTAAGCCCACACAATTTACTAGATTTATTGATAAGAATTTTTATTCCAATATCCGGATAGTAGCCGCAACTTTCCAATACGTTTATCACATAATCTTTATCCTCTCCATTGTGAAAACAAGCAATATCTAGGAATATTTTCTTCTCTATTTCCTCCAATCCATCAAAACTTATATACAGCTTTTCCAAAATTTCCTGATTAGGAATTTCTTTCAATCTATTCAATGCACTTATCCACTCATTTATAGATTTACGAAACAAGAATGAGCCAAGAACGTCAAGAGCTAATGGAAGGCCATTACAATAATTCACAAAGAGTTTAGAGAGCTCCACATAATCAGTTGCAGGATAATCACTTTTAAAGGCTTTCAAACAAAAGAGACGGAGGGCTTCATCATCACTTAATCCCTCAACTCTATATATTTTATCTACCCCATGACTCGTCAACAAATGTTCATCTCTAGTGGTTACAATTATCCTACTCCCACTGCCAAACCAATCATGCATACCAGCTAATAATTTCAGCTGCTCCAATTGATTCACATCATCAAGAATGACAAGAACCCTCTTGTGGTGCAGCCTATTCTGGATCTCATCAGTTCCGCTATGAGCATCCCAAATAACTATGTTTCTATCGACTAGAATTTCAGAAAGAAGTTGTTTTTGTAAAGGAACTAAACCATGCTTCTGGTGCACTTCTCTAACATTTGCAAGAAAGCTACTACCTTCAAATTGAGAAGATTATTCCTCATAGACAACTCTAGCAATTGATGTCTTTCCTATACCACCCATCCCACAAATCCCAATAAACTGAACATCATCCAATTGCCCCATGTCTAAATACATACTCATCTCCACCAAACGTGAACTCATTCCAACAAAATTGTTCGCTACACTTGATGCTAAACTTGATTTTCTCAATTTGCCAAGAACGTCCTTAACAATTTCCTCAATAACCTCTGACTCAAGCCTGCAAGGTAGCAGTTACGGGTATAGTCAAACAACAGGCCTGACAATATTGACTTGAAAAACAACATGATTTGATAATTAATTAATCATAATAAGTAATGAAAATGCTTATATCCTTAATTTTGTTGTAAGATGGATATGTAGAAGGGTGTAGATTTTGGAATGTGAAAGCTGCAGGTTCTTACAACCCAACCTGTAGCCTATATACGAATCTAATTAATTAATTTCCATTTTACTTCAGTTTATCACATGATCATGCTAGTTAAAGAAAGAAATATAATCCCCAAAAAAGAGCTCAGAAAAATTCAAACTAAAGATCAAATCTTTAAGCACCAAACCGTTCAATTGAGTGGAAATGAGACAATAGGATATATCCTATAATGACTTAGCCTAACATGACAATCATAGCAAAGGATTTAAAAGAAAGATTAAAAAGCAGCATCGACCACAGTGCAAACGTGATTTCTATTTGCTTATTCACATAACAAAAGCTTAAGTCTTGATGTTATTGATAAACGCAACCAAACAACCAAAAAGCTCAAGAATAGCAGAAAACTGTAAAGCCCAATACCTTATATTGTGCAATCACCATCATGTAGCGTTCAGTTGGCGATTGAAGAATATCGTAAGTGGAAGCAAAGAGGTATTGTATTTGTTTGTTTGATTGGTTTTGTTCGTGTTTACATACTGTCAGTTCTGTTTTATAGGCAACCTTGGCTTTGTGTCTTTAAAGGTTAAATTTCGCAGATCTTCCCTGCGACAATCACCGGAACTGCCATACTGTTTCACTGTAACTTCTTAGACGACCGCAAGTCGCGATGGTGGTTGGCCACTTGGCCTCTATTTTACTTTTCTTTTCTTTTTTTTAAAATTTTTTTAAAGGAAAAAATTCTGTGACGGGGATGGTGGAAATATAGAATTATTATTAACAAAATAAATTTTCTTTTATTTTTAATTTTAAGGTCTCTTTGACAAATTTTAGTATAATTTAACGTTTTTTTTATTCTTACAAGCATCTCTCATTGTTTGATTGTTAATTTAATTTTTTTAATTTTATTTCGAAATTTATAATTTTTTTAAAGTATTTTTTGATAATTATGAAATCTGGTCTGATAAGGTGGATAAATTCAGAGAACCGATTTTAAAACTTAATTTATTCGTTTGAAAAGTTTTTTTTTTTTTTTCTCTCCCATACAATGCAAAAGGATAAAATATAAGGTAAGTCCCCTTACAAGTTGCAATGTGAAAACTAATAAATTATATATATATATATATATATTATGACCAAATACATGAATTAATTAATATTGTAAGTTTATGAAAACACTCAACTTTTTTATGATTAATTAAAATTATAAATTTATTATTTATTAAATTCTTTAACTACTAAAATTATAGTAATTGAAAAGTGAAAAAAGAAATTAAGAAAAATACCTATCTTCTGAAACCCAGCCAGAAAGATTGGCCAATTGAGTGACCGCAACTCTCCAGCGTTTCACCTTCTGAATATCGTCACTGAAACGCAGCTCATGCTTAGCAAATGCTTTTCCAAATTCTCGACTCTGCTTTCGCACCTCCGATGGATCCACATCGTAAAAAACAGGCATAACCATTTGTCCCTTCGTTTTCATGCATTCGTAAATCTCCGACAGTTCATCCAAGCACCACGTCGACTCTGCATAGTTTCTTGAAAAAACGATTATTGCAATTCTTGAATCTTTAATCGCTTTTATAAGTTCTTGAGAAATGGTTTTTCCTCTCTGGAGTTCTTTGTCGTCCTTGAAAGTGAGAATTCCCTTTTGACACAAACCAGCGTAAAGATGGCTGGTGTAGTTCTTTCGAGTGTCTTCCCCTCTGAAACTGAGGAAGACATCATACTTCCAGGTGTTAGCCATAGAATCAGTTAGAACGAAGAATAAAAAAATAATACTATGAGCGAGCAAGCAACGAAAACCAGAAAGCAGAATAAGCAGGGAAGTGTATGTTTTGATGGCGGGCGGGGCCAATGGCATCATATAGTATGTAGAATACAAGTGACAACACCTGCCTAACCTACCCAACGCGTCGGTGGAACCTGGACTTTTTATTAAATTTTAGCATCCGTCTCTAATTTGGACAAGCTAATTAAGAATATATATATATTTTTTTTTTCATCAAGTTGCAACAAATTAATAAATAATTAAATACTAAATGAAAAACATTTGCCAAAAAGAAATAAAATGTTTTCAATAAAGTTGATGTACATAGGTCAGTCACAGTAGCAAAATCAGAATTATGGGTGGGTTGGTTGGTTGGTTGGTTGGTTCTTTCTTTCAAAAATCAAAGATGGTGATGTGGTCCCTGTGCCATCCGATTGTTATAGTCCTCCACTGGTCTAGCAGCGGACGACGTCCGTACAACCAATATCTGAATCCATTTTGTTCAATAACAAGTAATTAATAAGGGGTTGTTAATGTACAATGATTGGATAATTAAAGTTTATCATATGGTATGTCACGTCATGTGCTGTTCCTATTCCTTGACGAGTCTTTTTCTTTTCACGAGGAAGGATAGCAAAGCCGCCTTTCACAATTCTTGGTCTTCTCTTTTGCAGACGACTGATAGACAGATTAATTACGTATTGAGCATGCAGCCAGCCAGTCAATCCATTAGGCCAAACAGGAGCAGGACAATTAGTTTGAGGGAGCCAAACACAATTTTTAAAATTTATAGGGAGCTAAATATAATTTTTATCTACATTTTGAAGGATTAAAATGTAATTTTCATGAAGAAATTTTTATTTAAAGTAGTTGGATTTTTGGATTTTTATTAATATCAAACGGTAAAATAGTTGGTTTTTTTTTTTTTTTTTTTTTTAAAATTTAATTTTCATGAAGAAATTTTATTTAAAAGTAGTTTGATTTTTGGATTTTTATTAATATCAACGGTTAAAATAAGTTGGTTTTTTTTTTTTTTTTTTTTTTACAGAAAAAAATAATGTGATCCACGAAATCAAAACCTAGAGAGACTTATAAATTGTCCAACGAAATCAAACCTGAGAGACTATTATTAGGTTTACTGATAACAAAGCCGCCTTTCACAAGCCTTGGTCTTCTCTTCTGTAGGTGATAGATGACAAATTAATTAGGTTAATATCTATGTTTTCACGCTGTATGGAAATTTACTAACAAATATTCTATAGGTTTGGAATAATTCAAAACCAAAAAATGATTGTAGAAATATATAATTGGAGCATTCAAATATTCAATATTTTCAAACATGCATTAATACACGTTTTCATGGAAATTGGGAGACCACAAACCTTTGAAGATTCAATGTTCCTACTCTATCTATCAGTCTAGAGAGTCTAAGGAGATTGTTCTTTCTGGAATTAAATTAATTAATTATGGAGCTCGGACTTGTATTACACTTACATCTCATATTTGATCAAAGTCCAAAGAGCGTTCAAACAAGAAAATCAAAAAGAGCAATGGCTATCTGGAACGTGTTTTATTTGCGTTTTATTTAGCTCTTCAGTTGCATGCGGTTAAACCAGAAAAAGAAAACCTAAATTTTGCGTCTTAGAACAAGAAAAGCACGAAGTGAACCTGAGAAAATATGATGCAAGAAAGAAATACAGATATCTTATAATAGGTTTTGTAGCTCATTTTGCTTATTTTTGGTGCTTTTAGGAGAACAATCTTGCATTTAGGTTAAATTTTGAACCCCAATCCTTTATCTGTCTCCTCCCTTCGTTATCTCCTACTGCAAATGACACGTTCCTCCAAGATAACATTCTCCCATGTCCCTCCCTAAAGTGTGTATATCACTAGCAGATACGAACCCCAAGATACATTCCTCCAGGAGAACCATTCTGCCATTCCTTCTCCCAGTCTCTATCCTTCCAAATAGATCCCTCCAAGGTGACCATTCTCCCATATGAACCCCAATACTCTATCCCCCAACTCTCTATCTTGATTGTGCCATTCCTTCTCCCAGTCTCTATCCTTCCAAATAGATCCCTCCAAGGTGACCATTCTCCCATATGAACCCCAATACTCTATCCCCCAACTCTCTATCTTGATTGACGTCCATACAAAATCCTCCCTCCCTGAAGTATAAATTAATTGCAGATATGAACCCCAATACTCTATCCTCCAGTTCTCTATTGGTATTGTCTTCCATAGAAAATCACCCCTCACTGGATCATCGTCTTCCTCTCCACTGTAAGAATTCTCTTGACAATTTTCAAAAGGATTGAGAGGTTCATTTGTTTGGATTAATTCTTTTATTTCTTTCAAATGTACAATGCGTATCCCACACCTCTTGATTATATATTCACGGAAAGTTAGCTCCACCTCCGCCGTACTTTCTTCTTCATAAGGATCTATAGGAATGGGATTGGCAACAGAGAAGATGTGAAGATGGTCTGATGTAAGACGCACATTTGAAGGGACTTTAAGGCTAAAGTAGCTCTCCCAAACCTCCTTTCTTTTCTTGTATATTGTAAATTTACAAAGTTCTGGTCCCTGATAAACTGTTTTGCTAGAAATCGCAACACAAATAACAAAGCCTGCAATGTTCCACCACTTTTCACATGCAGATAAGCGAATTCTTAGCGGACTATTGAAACTCTGATGGTTGAACCATTTAGGAATTTCACTCCCAGGGAAGCGCATGGAGATGTCTAAGAAGAAGAGCAAAGGTGAATCATCTAGAAAATAGCCTTTCTGCATCACATTTATTACCTATAGTGTATTAGTACTTTACACACAAAAATTTACGAGGATAAAAAAGAAAGAAAAGAATGGTTAGAGAGAGACCTTAGGGCAATATCGTGCATGTCTCGAACTAAGCAACCAACGGCTTTCTAGCAGAAAAAGAAGGTGACTTTTCAGCCATGTAAATGCCACATTGATATTCCCTTGATAATCGTTTAATTTGGAGCAATTTGAGAATTCCATCAAAATAGCCAGCGGATTATTGTGTTTTTCATGTAGATTTGGAAGACTTTCCAAAGAAGTGCAATTATTCACACGCAAAGTTATAATAGTGGATGGAAGATCTGGCAATAACTGAAGTCTCTTGCAATTAGATAATTCGAGAGAACGAAGATGGGAAAGATGACTGATGCTTGATGGTAAGCTTTCAAAATTGTTTCCGCTTAGATCGAGATGTTCCAGGAAAGGGAAGCCAGTAAGGTCACTAGGGATTGCTCCTTCAGGAAGATCGCAATAACTTAGATTTAGGTTGTTCAAAAAGGGTAAAGCTGACAAAGAAGGAAACACTATAGATATAGGATGTGGATTCTTCCAAGTCCAAGGCAACAACCATGACAGAAGATGGAAACCCCATCGTTTAGCTAATTCCAGTTGTTGCATACCGAATCCAGTTGCACTGAACTCCTCCATACAGGTCATATCCCCCGAACTATCTGGAAGTTTCATAAGTTTTGAACAGCCACGCAAAATAAGAGTCTTGAGGGACTTCAAGTTAAACATGCTATTTGGAAGAGTCACTAGGTTTCTACAGTTCTTCAGGTTCAGAAAAACAAGCCTTTTCAAAACTCCGATAGATTGGTGAATTTCACGCAGACTCTCACATCCTTCAAGATTCAACTCCTCAAGATTTGGAACCTCTTGAAAGTTGGGGGTCTTGAGTAAATTTTTTGAGTAACTAAGATCAATGATCTTCAACAACTTAATGGGCTGTAACAAGATATAAAAAAATTACGTAATTTTTAAATAACATAATCATAGAAGTTAAATTAAGAAACACGTACTTTTATTGATCTCCTCCATAGTTGTTCAATTCTACTGCATTGCATATGGAGCTCGACAAGTTTATCTGGTTGAAAATTTGATGGAAAAGTTTTGCAAGGACATTCATGCCATTCCAAATACCTTAATTCATTAGAAAGGTACTCAACTTCCTGAGAGGTGGGTACATCTCGGAGTATGAGCAATCTTAGCTCTTTCATTTTTGAAAAGACTTTAGCATTCAAATGTTCCTCCAGTTTCCATGAATGCAGGACTATAGCCTTAACTTGTTTTGTTTCCTGACAATTGAAGGTACGGAAGAACAACAAACAATAAGAAATAATTATATAATTAGATACCTCGATTGGTAAGTTATTGTAATTACAAGATTGCTTACCATGTTTTTCACTTGAATGTAATAGAGATCCTTGTCGAACCATATTCTACTATGTAGCCCTGGATTTTCATTAGATTCTCTACGAACAATTTCTCTCCCCATTTCTTGAACCAAATCATGCATCTCCACAAACCCAGAAACAGTTATGAGAGATTTATCAATGAGTTCTCCAATTCCACTATCTGGGAAGAATCCACAACTTTCAAGTACTTTTACCACATACTCTTCATCCATTCCTTTGAAGAAACATGCAATATCAAGAAACATTTCTTGTAATATTTTGTCAAGGCCATCATAACTTAATTGAAGCTTGCTCAGAATTTTTTCATTTGGAATTTCTTTCAATCTCCTTAATGTGCTATTCCATTCCCTCACACCTTTACCAAACAAAGACGAACCTAAAACAACAAGAGCTAAAGGGAGGCCACTGGAATATTTTACAAACTCGTTTGAAGGCTCCACATATTCCTCCTTGGGATAATTACTCTTGAATGCTTTTGAACAAAAGAGTTTAAAGGACTCACCATGACTTAACCCCTGAACCAAGTATATTTCATCTGTTCCATATTTCTTCAATAGATGTACATCTCTTGTTGTTATGATGATTCTACTTCCTGTACCAAACCAATGTTCATCTCTTTTTCCAATCAATAACTCTAATTGCTCCAGCTGATCAACATCATCAAGAATGACCAAAATCTTTTTACAACACAACCTATCTCGAATCTCATCTGTTCCTCTATAAACATCATATACTTGTACGCCGTCGTACATCAGTGTTGCAGATAGAAGTTGTTTCTGTAATGAAACTATACCATATTTTTCAAAAGATTCTCTAACATTTCCAAGAAAACAACTGCCTTCAAATTGACAACGAATATCTTTATAAACAACACTAGCAATAGTTGTTTTACCTATTCCGCCCATCCCACATATCCCTATAATTCGAACTTTACTCAGCTGCTCTAAATCCAAATAACCTTTCATTTTCTCCAACCTAGACTCCATTCCCACAAAATCCTTGGCAATGCTATGATGACTTGTTCTTCTCAATTGGCGAAGTATGTCCTCAACAATATCTTGAATAAACTCTGACTCATCCCTGTTCAACAAAATACAAATTAATGAAAAAGAAATCATGTTTTAAATTAGTTCTTATATGTTCATCCGTCTAATGGCAGAGTTCTTATATTTTAAAAAAAAAAATTCAAATTAATAAGAAATCATGTTCTGAATTAGCTTTTTTTAAGAATATGTTCACATCAACAAGAAGAGAGAAAAAAAAAATTTGTAGTAACTAAAATGAATAAAGAAGTTGTTCTGACCTGTCACCTAGATGCCATCCAGCGAGATTGGCCACCTCCGTTGATGCAAGTCTCCATTCTTGGACCTTTTCAATGTTGTCTTTGAAAATTTTTTCATACTCGATGAAGGGTTCTCCAAATTTGCCATCCTGTTGTCGCACTTCATACGGATTCACATCATAGAAAATAGGCAAAACAATTTGCGTCCCAGCATTCTTGCATTCAAAAATTTTTACAAGTTCATTCAAACACCAAGTCGAAGCAGCATAATTTTCTGAGAAAATGACGACTGAGATTCTTGAGTCTTGTATTGCTTTAGGGAGATACTGAGGAACGGATTCTCCTTTTGGAAGCTCATTATTATCCTTGAAGGTGATGATTCCTTTTTGAAGCAACTCTTTATACAGATGGCTAGTAAAATTCTTTCGAGTGTCTTCACCCCTGAAACTAAGGAACACATCATATCTCCATTGTTGTGTAAAAGAAGAAGAAAAAGAAGAAGCTGCTGAAGAAGCCATGAGAAAATTTTCCTTTTTTTTTGTTTTTTTTGGTATTTTGTTGTAGGCTTGTTGTATCTAAACATTATCATGAGGTATTTATAAACTCTCTCTGGACCTTGGCATCTTCTTGAAGTTAATGATTTTCTCCATATAGTAAGTTGCCAAAAATCTCCAACCATGTTGGTGCGTCTGTAAAACGCAAGTCAGTATTTCTCCACAGCTCCGCGCATTGTCTTCTCTATTATCCCATTATTGACTATGGTAACGCCGGTCTCTTGTCCCTTCATTGACTATGGTAAACGCCGGCAGGAGGTGACCCATGTTGGCGAGTCTGTAGTGTAGTAACTGTGCAACCAGATGATCATGATCATGAGTCATCCACTGCACCACTGAGCCTTACAGAGCTACGTAAGTTATACATATCATTCTTAATTAAATGAAACAAAGATATTATTGGATGTTGATAAATTTTATTCATAAATAAAAATTACTATAGTCAAGTATATTGCATTAAATATTTTAATAGTAACTTTAATTGAATTTGACATAGTTAATTATATAAGTTTTTATATATAAATACTTTAATTGTTAATTATATAATGTGTTCTGTAGAGTAATAATTTTTATATACATCAAATATATGACATTATATTATTATATTTAAATAATTAAAATAATTATTATAATACGTATGGTTAACTATTCTATCAATATTTAGTATTAGAATAAAATATAATTAAAAACTAGTACTTGTCAAAGTATTATTGTAGGTCTCCGACGTGTGGGACCCACGCAATTTGAAAAAAATAAAAAAGAAGAGGAAATTTTATTTTCGGTGGACGCGTTAGGACTCAGTAGACGCGTTACATTTTGCGAGTGAGATCAATTGTGAGAAAGTGAGAAAAATAGACAGATTATTAAAGAAGAAAAAAGCTTAATTTTTTTTGGGTATCCGGGTTATGAGTGTATGTAAACACTTTATTTATTTTTCTCCTATAAAAAATTTATGGCAGTCCGGAGCCGTATGCAAGATTGGCCGAACTCTATTATCAAATTGTATGTTATCATTTTCTTTTGCTCCCTCATAAATCTGACTTACCGGAGATTTTGCATAATTTATCCTCAATAACTGGTATCAGAGCTGATGTCAAACAATTAGTATCAGAGCCGAAGGTTTCGGCAGGTCCAGCCGGTCAGATAGCAGTACCGGATTCGTAGATATACTTTGAAAATAAATATACCACGACGATGAGAAAATTACGACGAGTTCATTGGTGCTGTTCGCTCGGAAAGACGTTGTAGTATCGACTTAGTGGTGAATAGTGAAATAGTAACGCAGAGTTGGTGGTGAACAGTACTATTAGCATTACTGTTGCTGAGCCCGTGACTCTTAAGGCCAGTATTATTCACGCATAGTACTATTCACGTATACAGTTACTATTTACGTGTACTAATACTATTCACGTATACTATTACTATTCACAGCTACTATTCACGTATACTAACAATCAAGATCAGAAAAATACGACGAGTCCATCGGTGCTGTCCGCTCGGAAAGATATTGTAGTATCGACTTAGTGGTGAATAGTAAAACAGTAACTAAAAGTTGGTGGTGAACAGTACTATTCACGTGTACTCACAAGCAAGGCGGAGTCAGACTTGAGTGGGAGCAATGGCTACAGATGAAGGAAAGTCGAAAATTGAAAAATTCGACGGTGCAGATTTTGGCTTTTGGAAAATGGCAATAGAGGATATTCTGTATCAGAAAGGTCTTTCAAACTCTCGTCGCGGTGTATCAGAAAGGTCTTTTCAAACCTCTCTCCGGAACGAAGCCAGAGGCTATGAAGGAAGAAGATTGGAATCTTCTAAACAGACAAGCACTCGGGATTATTCGTTTAACCCTCTCCCACAATGTTGCCTTCAACATAGCAAAAGAAAAGACCAAGGCGGGTCTTATGGCGGGTCTTTCCAATATGTACGAAAAGCCATCGGCCGCAAACAAAGTTCACTTGATGAGACGGTTATTCAATCTATGAATGACGGAAAGTGCATTTGTGGCCCAACATCTCAATGAACTCAATACAGTGACAACCCAATTGAGTTCAATTGGAATTGAATTTGATAAAGAGGTACGAGCATTGATACTTTTTTCTTCCCTACCAGAAAGTTGGAATGCTACTGTCATAGCTGTGAGTAGCTCGTCCGGAAGCAAGAAGTTAAAATTTGACGATGTTCGTGACCTGGTTCTCAGTGAAGAGATCCGACGGAGAGAGTCAGGTGAACCTTCAACTTCTTCAGTCTTGCATACAGAATCGAGAGAAAGAAATTCAACCAGAGGGAATGGACGCGGTAGATCAAACTACAGAGGCAAATCAAAGGACAGGAGGTCCAAATCCAGGAATCCCAGTAATTTCAATAGCACAAAGACCATCGAATGTTGGAATTGTGGAAAAACTGGGCACTACAAAAATCAGTGCAAGAATGCATCGAAGAACCAGGAGGGGAAATTAGAGGCAAATGTTGCTTCCATCTCAGGAGAAGATGATGCGCTTATATGCTCTTTGGAGAGCAAGCAGGAGTCTTGGGTTTTAGACTTCGGTGTGTCATTCTATGCAACTTCAGAAAAAGAACTCTTTGAAAGGTATGCCCTCGGAAACTTTGGAAAAGTATACATTGGTAATGACCAACCATGTAATATTGTTGGTAAAGGAGTAGTGAAGATTAAGTTGAATGGGTTTACATGTGAGTTGAAGGATGTCAGGCATATTCCTGACTTGAGAAAGAACTTAATCTCAATAGGCCAGTTGGCCAGTAATGGTTACACAACAACCTTCCATGGTGATAAATGGAAGATTAAAAGGGTGCAATGATAGTTGCTCGTGGCAATAAGAGTGGTACTCTTTACAGCGTAGGAGGAGCAAGCTAATCCATTGTTGTTGCATCAAACAATGGAATTCCCAATCTATGGCATCAAAGGCTTGGCCATATGAGTAAGAAGGGAATGAAAGTTCTACATTCACAAGGAAAACTACTAGGTCTTCAGTCAATTGAAATTGACATGTGTGAAGACTGCATATTTGGAAAGCAGAAAAGAGTCAGCTTTCAGACAAATAGAAGAATCCCAAAGAAGGAGAAACTTGAGCTTGTTCACTTCGATGTGTGGGGACCAACTACTGTCTCATCCATTGGTGGGAAACAATACTTTGTGACTTTTATTGATGATCACTCTCGGAAGGTATGGGTTTACTTTCTAAAATATAAGTCATAAAATATAAGTCAGAATATTTGAGTGCTTTCCAGAATTTTGGAAAAAGCTATGGTTAAATGAGACAGGATTGAAGATCAAAAAGCTCAGAATCGACAATGGTAGTGAATATGAAGACACCAGGTTCAAGAAGTTCTGCTATGAGCATAGAATCAAGTTGGAGAGAACCGTGACAGGCACACCTCAACACAATGGTGTAGCTGAGCACATGAATCGAACGTTGACAGAAAGAGCCAAAAGCTTACGTGTACAATCAGGCTTACCAAAGCAGTTCTGAGCAGAAGCAGTCAACACAGCAGCTTACTTGATCAACCGAGGTCCATCGGTACCATTGGAGCACAAAATACCAGAAGAGGTATGGAGTGGAAAAGAAGTAAATGGAGTGGAAAAGAAGTAAAACTCTCACACCTAAGAGTTTTTGGTTGTGTAGCATATGTGCATATAAGTGATCATGGCAGGAATAAGTTTGATCCCAAATCTAAGAAATGCATTTTCATCAGCTATGGCGGAGATGAGTTTGGATACCGCCTCTAGGATGAAGAAAACAAAAAAGTGATTCGCAGTAGAGATGTGGTCTTCAATGAAAGAATGATGTACAAGAATAGCCATAACACAGTTGCCAGCGACTCAGAGCAGAGTGGGCCAGTGTTTATAGAGGTGGACGATATCTCAGAAAGTCTGTCAAATGAGTTAGTTAAATATACTCAATCAGAGGAATCAACTGACACACCATAAACTTCTCCTCCAAAAGCTTTAAGAAGGTCTGAACGTCCTCCAAAGCCTAACAGAAAATAGTCCTCCAAAGCCTAACAGAAAATATATGAATTATTTGTTATTAACAGATGGAGGAGAACCTGAATGCTTTGAGGAAGCATGTCAAACGGCAGATGCAAGGAAGTGGGAGCTTGCCATGAAAGACAAAATGAAGTCTTTAATCTCCAATCAAACATGGGAACTAGCTGAGCTACCCGTGGGAAAGAAGGCACTTCACAACAAATGGGTGTATCGAGTGAAAGAGGAACATGATGGTTCCAAGAGATACAAAGCTCGACTGATAGTCAAAGGGTTCCAGCAAAAGGAAGGAATTAACTACACCGAAATATTTGCACCAGTTGTAAAACTCAATACTATCAGGTTTGTGTTGAGTATTGTTGCCAGTGAAGGGCTCTACCTTGAGCAGTTGGTGTTACGTGAGACTGGGCGTTTTCTCTCACGGAGAACCTTGGATAAGGAGATAATAGACATGTATCAGCCCAGAAAGGATTCTCAGAAAAGGAAAATGAGAGATATGGGTGTGGCAAACTCAAAGAAAAAGCTTGTAATGGCCTAAAGGGCTAAGCCCCAAGACAGTGGTACCAAATTTGATAGCTTTCATGCACAGAGAAGGTTTCAAGGTCAATGTCGACCACTGTTGCTAACTTGTCAAAAGGTAAGATTAGTTATGATCATTCTGGTTTAACTTTATGTTGATGATATGTTAGTAGCAGGACCAGATATAAACGAAATCAAAAACTTGAAGAAGCAATTGTCAAAAGAATTTGACATGAAGGACTTAGGTCCAGCGAAAAAGATTCTTGAAATGCAAATCACGAGAGATAAGCAAAAACAGGTGTTGCAGTTATCTCAGGCTGAGTATATCAATCGTGTATCGCAAAGATTCAACATGCACGAAGCTACGCCGGTCAGCACACCCTTGGCTAGCCATTTTCGCCTCAGTCCCCTCAGACGGAAGAAGAGAGAAAAGATATAGCCAAAATTCCTTATGCTTCAGCCATAGGAAGTTTGATGTATGCAATGGTCTGTATAAGACCAAATATTGGCCATGCAATGGGAGTTGTTAGCAGGTATATGTCAAATCCAGGAAAAGCTCATTGCGAAGCGGTAAAGTGGATTTTGAGGTATGTACGAGGCACTACTGAGAAATGTTTGTACTTTGGGAAAGGAGACCTAAAAGTACAAGGTTATGTAGATGCGGACTATGGAGGCGACGTTGATCACCGAAGAAGCACCACATGTTATATTTTCACTGTTGGTACTACAGCTGTTTGTTGGATGTGACAAGTACAGAACATTGTAGCTCTATCCACCATAGAAGCTGAGTATGTCGCAGTGACAAAGCCAGCAAAGAGATGATATGGCTTCAAGGCTTGTTAACAGAGTTGGGATTCATGCAGGAAAAGAATGTTTTGTACAGTGATAGTCAGAGTGCAATACATTTGGCAAAAAAATTCAGCATTCCATTCTAGAACAAAACACATTGGTCTTCGATATCATTTCATCAGGTCTCTGCTTGAGAATGATGTGCTAAAGTTAGAGAAGATTCAAGAAAACAAGAATCCAGCTGACATGTTAACAAAGGTGGTGACCATTGACAAACTGAAGTTTTGCTCAACTTCAGTTGACCTGCTAGAATAACAGACCAGAGAAGACTCAAACTAGTTGACCTGCTAGAATAACCAGACCAAGAGAAGACTACGCATGATGATGTGTGAAGAGACAGACAGTCTTCAAGTGGGAGATTGTCAAAGTATTATTGTAGGTCCCTCCGACATGTGGAACCCACACAGTTTGAAAAAATAAAAAGGAAGAGGAAAATTTATTTTCAGTGGACGCGTTAGGAATCGGTGGACGCGCTACATTTTCTGTGGACACGTTAAACCTCTCCTATAAATAGGAGAGGATATATTGCTTCAACATCAACACCAAGACAGAGCGAGTGAGAGCAATTGTAGGTGAGAAAAATAGAAAGATTATTCAAGAAGAAAAATTAAGCTTAATTTTTCGGGTATTCTTGGATAGAGGGTTGTAAGTGTATGTAAACACTTTATTTATTTTTCTCCTATAATTTATTTTGTTTTTGGCTCTATAAAAGATTTGTAGCAGTCCCGGAGACGTATGGCAAAATTGGCCGAGACCTCCGTTATCAAATTGTGTGTTATCAATTTTCTTGTTGCTCCTCATTTAAAAATCTGTTATTTATTTTTCTCCTATAAAAGATTTGTAGCAGTCCGGAGACGTATGCAAGATTGGCCGAACTCCGTTATCAAATTGTGTGTTATTTTCTTTTGCTCCCTCATAAATCTGACTTGCCGGGAATTTTGCGTAATTTATCCTCAACAACTGGTATCAGAGCCGATGTCCAACAGTACTAATATTAGAATTAAACATAAATAATAACTAATATTATCTTATTTATGCTATTCTTAATTATTTATATAGTAAACTAGTATTCTAATTATCAGCAGTATTATAATTATTTACGGATTATTTACGGTCAAGAAAGCTTTTTCTTGGATTTGGATTTTGGAATTGGATTTGGATGTTTTTTTTATTATTATTATTTGAATATTACTGCATTAATTGGTTGTTTGATTAATTAATTGTTTGATGGATGATGAGATGAGATTGCAGAGGCGAGGGTTCAGATGAAGAAGAAAATGAACTGCACCGAGTGCATTCCAACAAGCCATTTTGGCAGGATACAATTGATTGCAAGTTTTTAATAGAATAGAAAAATAGAAAACTTAGATGCTATAGATATTCATTAAATGAAAATGAATTTCTCAGGAGGAAATGAGATTAAGCAGGCTATTAGGATAGTACTTCCTGCCATTCAGGACTGACTCACCTTGGTAGGAAAAATTACTGACGGAGTCTACCTAAAAAAATTCTTCAGAATTAACTATTCTCGTAAATTTTATAGTCGAAGAGCACTCGAGAAACAAGTGCTGTTTGTGCTGAATCTACTGAGAGTGGAGTCGAACACTGCATGTAATTCCCAAGTGCCTACCAAACTGAAAATGGTAAAAATATTATTCCCCCTTTCGTCAGATTAAAGTGATTTTCCTCAAAAAAGGGTAAAGCTGTCAAAGAAGGAAGCACAGAATCCAAGGGCCTAGGGATGGAAAATTGCATTTTAGCAAATGTAAGTTGTTTTCTAACAACTCCAGCTGCATCAAAAACGCCATTTCCTCCAACCAATTGGGCAATTTACCAAGTCTAGTGGAGCCATGCAAAATAAGCATTTTGATGCTTCAAAATTACACATACTACTTGAAAGTGCCACGAGCCCAGAGGTTCTTACAGTCCTTCAGGTTCAATGAAACCAAACTTTCAACCCACTGCGATCAATGATCTCCAAGAAATCCCTAGAGTCTGAGACCTTAATTAAAGTTTTCAACAACTACGATCAATGATCTTCAAAAATTTTACAGGCTGTTAAAAGTCATAGAAAGAAGATAATGAAACTCCAGGAGTTTGCATAAGCAAATATCAACTACTAATTTGCAATTATAGTTTCTCATCCAGAAATAGAATCAGGTAATAACGATCATAATACCAAGTGCTCAAGTTGAAAGTATTATCAAAATTCATAACAAACTCAACAGCTCATGTCTACCAGTTCATATGGAGTCCATAAGCAAACGTTGGGCAAACAGCATAACTACTTCAACAGTCAACGAAATTGATAACATTACCCAAAAGACAATAGAAAAAAGGCAAAAGACTTGGATCCCTTCATTTCTCATAAGGCCAAAAACTTTAGTCTTTATGTTTCTTCACAGGTCTTGTACAGTCAAACCTACAGATAGAAATATGAACAGATAATTAGACTAGACAAAATGACAGATTACAGAATGAACCCATCCAGTGAACTCAGAGAGCGAGAGAAATAATTGTGAAGTTCTCAAAGCACTAACAATCTAGTGCATTGAGACAAAGGAAAAGAAAAGATACCCAATTCAGCACTCTTTGTAATTGTAGAATTAAATTAATGCATGATCTAGATATGAGTGTTCAATTCCTAAGCGGAAGAACCAAGATCACAACACAGCGACCAAATTTTCACAGAATAGAATATATATAGAAGTTGAACCACCAAAAAATTAATAAATGAGAGAGAGAGATTATACCTGGGGGAAGAGATTGCTTCAACTTGTCAGCCTTCTCAGAGTCGAACACACAAAGTGTGTAAAGATATTTGGAGCAGCGAACCTTGAACTTCACCACATCTTTGCTTCTCTTGATCTTGACAGAACGAGCATCCTTTCTTCTTGCTGTAAGAAGGAAATCCTTGATTTCATGTATTTGCTTTGGCTGTTGATGCAAAATAAAACAAAAAATAAAAAGGTGTTAGAGAATTCACATCATTGGGTGATTTAAATATTTGATTAACAAGGGAAAAATTATATGCATCAACTGAGACAAAAGATAGTGAAAGCCAGTGCAATCCTTTACAACAACAACAACAACAACCAAGACGTTAACCACAAAAATGTCATCAAATGCTGCATGACAAAGCAATCAATTTTTTCAAAACATAATAGGAGCTACAGTGGCAGGCTACTCAATTTCGTCAAAGGGAAGGGAAAAGAGGAAAAAGAAATAAAGTTTTTCCCTTTATTGCTTGAATACTTAAATAGAACAGAAATAAAATCACACTTCCAAGATCCCTCCAAAGCATCCTTTTATTTCTTTCCATTATGAAAGAGAAATACATTAGAACGGAACCTTTTACCACTTCATGTCCCAACAATCAAAACTATTCAATAGGAGGTAAATGAGTATATAAGTTTCACTTACTTTTTACATTTTTAGACATCAAAACAATGCAAATGGAAATTTAATTAGACTAGTTCAAATCTCCCTGCAACTCATTCATATAATTTTATGTTTTTCAGCACCCAAACCAAGACCAAACACACATAACTTGCTTTAATCAAGGAAATGTATTTCAGCTTTGTCTTGTAGTTGCTCAAGTTTCCTAAAGTATGGTTATATAAAAATTAATAGCTAGTTTAGATTCATAGATTCTAAAGAAAAATTTGGGCAACTTAAATGCAAACTGGGGCTGAATCAAACAACTCAGCTCTGCAAACCATGTCCTCAAACGTCTCAGTATAGATCCCCAGTTAAAACAAATTACAATATAAGTGCTAAAGTTGACAAACAATTAAAATCTAAATGCATCTAGCTGTCTATAGTGAAGTCAAATTTCCAATTGCAAACTTTTCAAGAAAAGGAAAAACTTGTGATGAGAGAATTAAAAGTCCATCACGGATTATTTTCCAAGTTACAACTATGATTGTCAATGGCAAATTGCTGCAATCAAAAGCATAAGTCCTCATCTAATATAAGTTTACCAAAAACAATCAATATTTTTCACAAACAGAGAAGGACAACCCAACAACATATCTCAAGCACAACCAAAGTATGAAGATGAAATGGCAACAATCTACCTACATCAAACGAGCGAGAAAAATGAATCTAAGAGATCAAAGAGACATTACCATTTTTCCGTTCCTTCTCGGTCTCGGAGCTCAGTATGTGCGGCTGAGAAGCAGAGTCGTGTTTGGAATATGAAGGGATGATATATATATATGGGTTATAAGTTATAAACCCTAACGATTGGACTTACATACTCGCACTTCGCCGATATATTATATTAATATTTTTTTTTTCTTAAAGTTATATCTCAATTATTAATTAAAATATTTTATTTAATTGAAATTTTTTATTAAGCATATTTTTTATTTGGTAAGTAAATTTCAAACTTAAGTGAATGATTATTCAACAGATACTTTCATTCTTCCTTTTTTAATTTGAAAGAATCTTTACAATTAAAATTTGTTTCTAATTATATAATTTTAATACTTTTAGTATTATAAAAATAACTTCCTGATGAATCAAATAAAATTGATAAATCCATAAATATTATGTAACGTATTTATTTTATAGTCGATTTTTTTATAATTATATATAATTATAATTTTTATTACAATCAATTTTTATTCTTATTTTTATTTTTTTAACATTAATTCAATTTTACTCTAAGTATCTCATTTTCAATAGTTTGTCCTAGGGATAAGAATCTTGACTACTTTGAGATGGAAAAATTAGCACCAAAGCCTCTAATTCCATTCCTCGTTGGGAAGGAAAGCCAAGTAGGGTCCTTGAACCGTGTGAATAAAGCTGTTCAATTTTTTGTACTAGTGGTGTAGAATTTAAAATTTGGGGAGTAAAAAAAATTCTAAATTTTAAAAAACTCTTGAGATCTATTGTATATTCTTCATATAAAATTTGTTTAATAAATAAATTAATTGAGGTTTAATTTATTTACAACTTGTTTATTTATCTTTTCTTATTTTACTGATAAAAATTTATATTTTAATATTTTTTTCGAATTTTAATAAATCCTCGTTCCTAACACTTAATTAATATTCCAAATTTGACCAACAGAGGTTTTTCTTTTAATTTCATTTCAACACAAAATTTTGAAAAAGACTGAATTCAATTTAAATTGAAAATAATTCAATTTTTGATCCAGTTGTTTCAGTTTTTAATTTTTTATAATTTTAATTTTCATGGATGAATTATTACAAAACACTTATTTTATAAATAAAATCCAACAATTTAATTGAACCGATCGGTTTTGGTTCGGTTTTTGATTTTATATTTTGGAATTCGATTTGGATCCGAGCGGCGGGTTTGCACATACCTGTTTTTCTTTTTGTAAATAAAAAATTAAATGACTGCTTATATGGTAAGCGAAGCATCTGATGACCCAAACAATATTTCAAATTTATAAGTAGCATTAAAAACAAATTATTATAAGTAGCGTTGTTTCTGTCTATCGCTTTCTGTCATGTGGTGGTCTGACGGACTTACACAGTGACACTCCATTGGAAGCTACTTCTTTACTAAGCTATTCTTTGTTCACTGTTTGGTCACTCCTCAGACAGACACTCTTTGAAAGCTCCCTCCTTTCATAACTTTTTCCCGCTTTATAAAGGAAGGATAATATTGGTTAACTGCTCACTGTAAATTTTTCGATTCTTCAAATTTTGATTGGAAGCAATCTGTTTATAAAAGTTCTTCAATCTCGCAGTGGGTTCATCCGATTTCTAATTTTTTTGGTTGGGGGAGAAAGAGAGAGTGAGTGAGAGAGTGGAGAGTTTGCTTTTAAATTGATCGATTTTATTTCAGCTGCCATGGAACCTGCTGACATGGACATAGATGCAACCCAACAAGTTGCGGCTGATCGTCTCCCTTTTGCTAGAAGGTTGGTTCCTTAACTTTTCTTTGTTGATGTTATAGATTGTTTCCCCTTGTTATATACATTGAATGGTGGTGGTTTTTTTATAGCTATCAACTGGAGGCACTGGAGAAAGCCATACAACAGAACACAGTACTGTTCTTGGAGACTGGTTCTGGCAAGACTCTGGTTGCGATAATGCTTCTGCGTACTTTTGCCTATCTTATTCGCAAGCCTTCACCTTACGTTGCTGTTTTCTTGGTTCCCCAAGTTGTCCTGGTCAAACAAGTATGCCAACTTTCACCCCTCGGTCTTTTCTCACGTTCACAGATGTCCGAAAAATTATACACTGTCTATGCTTAATAATAAGGTGGTACTTCAAACGGTTAGATTTGGATGTGGGTGTTTACCATGAATCTTGTAATGATTTCATGCTAGTACTTTTACATTGTGTACTATAATTTTGGTAGCTCAAGGTGAATTTACATAAATTTTCTTTTAAAAAATTGACGACTGAACCATATTTCCTTTACAATTATATTCTTTGGGGTAATTAGATGTGAACAATTTAGCTAAAATTAGACAGGAAATTGGTTTTCAGTTTATTCAATTTTCTTCTTCTGTGCTTCATAATTACTAGCAAGCTGAAGCTGTGGAAACACATACTGACTTGAATGTGGGTAAGTACTGGGGGGAAATGGAAGTTGACTACTGGGATGCTGCTATTTGGAAGCAACAAATACACAAGTATGAGGTAAGGTTTTCTAGTTTATACTATACTTTACAACTTGGGGAGCAATGTGAGCACTTGACTATGGATTGTTCTCCATTGTGTGTGTCTATTTGGATTGTATTCTCACTTTTAATGGTTTTCATTGGGTAAGCCCCTTATATTTTGCATTCTGAGTTTGATTTGTCCAATTAGGTCTACTTCAATTTTCTCAAAGTCTCATGTCCCATCCAAAATTTTGTTTATCAACTACTGTTTCTTAGATATTTGAATCCAGAAGTACATTTTACGGCAACTATCAAAACTGTGTTGAAAACAGAGTGACCAGAATATTGTCTAGTTTTTGAATTTATTATTTTGTTTCTAATGATTTTTAAGGTGAGTGGTTTTAGTTGGTTGTGGGTTATATGAAGATCAGAATAGGTAGTAATTGTCCTGCTTCTACACACACACACGCGCGCACACATATTCTCCAGTGAATTTCTATTGGGCAAGTGTTTCATGCTTGCATATTAATGCTCTTCATATTTGTAGCAACTAGTGTAATTTGTAATTTTGCCATTGTGTTGTATATGCAATGAACAATAACATTTATATACTTTCAGGTGCTTGTGATGACACCACAGATTTTGCTTGATGGCTTAAGGCATAGTTTTTTAAAGCTAGACTTAATAAAGGTTTTGATATTTGATGAATGTCATCATGCGAGGGGTAAACACCCATATGCTTGTATTTTGACAGTAAGTGTTCGTGCTCTTTCTCTTTGTCATTCTTTTGATACACGGTGATCTGTTTTCATACATAATGGTTTTCGTTGTGATCATCTGAAATTGGTTTCGGTAATAATTACTTTTCAAGGAAGAGGATCTTTATTGTTTTTGAGAATAGTCCATTAGATATTTGAGCACCAATTGCCTCTCCATTAGGCTGTTATAAAATCAGATGTTATTTTATTCTTTTGAATGGTTCTCTGCATTTTTAGCTTTAGTAAGAAGATGTTGCAGCAATTGTTGAATAGCTTTTAACATATCAAAGTTAAGGAATCTTGTGGCAGCAGATGATCTATGTTATTGCTGTTTGTTTGCTGTGTCAATCTTATATGCATCTAATGTTGAAGAAATCAGCTGGAATATTCATCTGGGAGGCAATCCTGACATCTTAAGTTAGATAGGGTATATAGTGGAGGGATTTTTTCATAACACAACAAACATTATTTTTGCTTCATGCTCTGATCCCATCCCTATTGATGTTCGGGCCTTGCTTTTGTTCGTATCATTTGATTCTCTAACATATGAAAACTATGATTCAACAAGGTTGAGAATTTGGTGTGCATTAATTAAAAAATATTGCAGACTGATATTCTTTTTATTTAATTTTGTAGAAAAAAGAAACAAAAGATTGATATTTGTTAAGATTGTGCAATTGTATTGGTTGTTGCAAGGATCCGAATTTTGATGTTTCCTAGTTATTTATATGCCACAATGAAATCAATTTTAGCATAAATGCAAATAGACTTAGAACAACGCCTAAATTTGCATATATAACTTTTCTTTAGTGTCACGAGGCCACCATGGGTGTGCAAGGAAAATTGAAGTCTTCTGTCTGATATAGTATTATATAAATCATACTATGTTCTTATTGCAATTGAGGCAGATGTGTTGAACCATTGGAAGTCATTAATACTGTTTAGTTTGGATTTGATTACTGTAGATTTAATGTGGGAAAATATTTTTCTATATTTGATTCATCAATAGGGACACATATATATACACATACAAGATACTATAAACCTATTTAGAATTCTAAAGGGACACATACTAATACATCATACAATACTAATCAAACTTTTAGAATCTCAACTCCGTAAATAGAGTTCTATTTAAACTCCTTCAAATAGATGTTCTATTTACAACTAATTCTTAAACACTCCCCTCTACAAGTTGGAAAGCATAGATTAATAAATCTGCCTAACATTGTACAAGATAGTCCAAACCGGGTCCGTAAACCTCCAAATCACATAAACATGCTGTAGAGATAACACCTTGTTGACTGATTTTCACGAATGAAATGACTCAATCTCAGATATGTTTGTCGTTTCATGGAATACTGATTGATGCAATGTGAAGAGCAGTTTAGATTATCACACCATAACTTTGCAGGCAGATGTACTATGAAAGCCAATCCTCTAACAACTGACGAATTCCAAAAATTTAATTCACAAAGCAGATTGTGCCATAGCTTCGATATTCTGATTTCAGCACTCGATCGTTGAGACTACATTTTGTTTCTTGCTCCTCCATGAATATCAAGTTTCACCTACAAAGACACATATTTCCTTGAAAGTTTGATAACTTCTATTCAAACCTTCGAACTGCCCCAATCCGCGATCTGGAAAAACATTCAATGTTCAAATTGCCTATTGATTACTGTAAAGCAGGCCACGACCTGGATTTACCTTCAAAAGCACAAAATCTGTCCTAAGGCTTCCCATGGTAACAGTAGGAGAAGACATAGAAAAGGATCAAGACAGCTCAGCAGAGTTAAGCAATTCGGACGGTACGGTAATAATTCAATGCCCACGAACCATTCCTATAAACCATCTCAGGATCATCAATAAAGCTCACCACCAATGAAAGTAATGCATACTAATTGGAGTTCATTGGGAGATTGCATGGCTTGGCACAAACTTAATCCAAAGTAATAATCCTCAGAAGCCAAGGACTACTTCCTTTGAGATAAGAAGAGCCTCTTCTATACAACCTAGATACTCTCAATACCAAAAATACTTCAACAGATCCTAAGTCATTTTCTGTCTGAACTGGTCAATTATGGAGTAAATGATGAGTGATTGTAATGACCGTCGACTGAATCAACTTCCCAAGAGTAATAAAACAATTCATCAACATAAACCACAAGTAGATCAAACCAGTCTAGTACTTCTGAAAATACAGAATGATCAGGAAGTACTCTTCTGATGCCAAATGCATCGTACCCACATTTTGCAAAATCTTACCATAACCAAGCTCGAGGACTCTGTTTTAGGCCATTAGAGTATTTATCTGACAGTTAACACTATAACCTCTCCTCCACTGGCAACAAAGCCTGGGTGAGCTCCATGTAGAACTTCCTTCCTGAAGATCCCCATGATAGAAAGCATTTAACGGATCCAGCTATGTAAAAGTGCCAGTCAAAAGAGCTGCTAATGAAACTTAAATAATACGAACAGAGACATTTAAGACAGAGAAAAAAAGATCAGGAATAATCAAGGCAATAGATTCTGAGAATAGCCCTTGAACTAATCGAGGCCTTAGAAGGACAACAAGATCCCTCAGGGATTCACTAACGGTTAGAAAAAAACCCACTATAACAATCCAATAGCCTTGATCTACCTGCCGGGGAGGCACAAGATCCCAAGTACCATTAGTATCTAAGGCAGAATCTCCTCTTCATTGTGCACTACCCAACCAGGAATGAGACCAAGCTTGGACAACTAGTTTTAAGAATTAGAGACGACGTACTAATGTTACTTACAAACAACGAGAATTGAAGAAGAAAGATGATCATAATACTAATACAAAAGAGGAAATAGGGTAGGACACTGGCGTTTACACTTTCGAAGAGCAATGGGAAGGTCGAAGGTCTGAGACTGGGGGAAGGATTGGCAACAGGCTAGGTGAGTGGAGAGAACCGGAATCTTCTGTTGAAACGAAGACAGGTGAGAGGATAGCTTGATTTCAAGAGTGATCCCTAGTCTCCTCGAAGAACCTGTTTCAAAAACTGAGGCGCCGTGTAAGATGCTCTGCAAGGAGTGGGCATAGTAAGCAGCAACACTGAATAGTAGGAGCAGGCAGGCACAGTCTCAGGAATACGACCGCAGGAGCAGGGAGATTTATGACGTGCTGAAATTAGCATAGACATAAAGAAGTCATCATCCTCCCCCTCACTCTTATGTATAAAGAAGGAAAATGTAGATTCTCAAAATAGTGACATCTGCACAGAAAATAAGATAACGGATCAAGATCGGAGAGAGAAACAACGATACCTTTGATGCCCGGAAGTACCCAAGGAAACACAACGGGAAGGGACTTTTGGACAATTTGAGAAACTGATGGAACCGAACATACACGAACAAAAACAAGTACCAACCAAAAAACGAGGTTCAATGCGGAAATAAAAAGTAGAGGAAACAAGACATTATTAAGGAATGGGAAACAAGACACTATAAGGAATAGCACCATTAAGCACAGAAGAAGGCATGTGATTAATAAAAAAACATGCAGTAGAGACAGCATTCGCCCAAAAATGTTTAGGGACCTTCATGTGAAATAGAAGTGCCCTAGCAATCTCAAGAAGATGTCGATGTTTGCTTTCTGCAACCCCATTTTGAGGAGTATCAGCACAAGACGTTTGATGGAGAATATCATTCTGTGACATATAAGATTGGAAGGAACTAGATAGATATTCCTTAGCATTATCACTATGCAATATGCAAACAGAGGTATTAAATTGAGTTTTAATCTCAGCACAAAAGGAACAGAAAATAGAGAATATCTCAGAACGAGTTTTCATTAAAAATAACAGAATAATCATCCACGACAAGTCTACAAAATACCGAAATGCCAGTCTTAGAAATAAACAGGACATGACCCCAAAACATCGAGAATGACTAATCAAAAGGGATGAAACCCGTATTGGACCGAGGAACTAAAGGTAAACGAATGAATAATTGGCAAATATTGACAGATTCACAATCTAAACTTTATAAAGACTGAAACTGCGGACACAACTTCTTTAAAGTAAGACAATGATGGATGGATCCAAACGACAATGAACCTCAGAGGAGATTAGCAGCACCGCACAAGCCAGAGTATAATGAACGTGTTCATCACAGAAGAATAAAGGCACACATAGGACTCACGCCATTCTACCAATAATCCGCTTCGTTTCAAAAGAATCCTGAAACACACAAAAGTTAGGATAAAATTTGAACACAAACAATTCAGACATAACGAAGTAATTTTTGCTAACAGATATATAGATTAAAACAAAAAACGGAGGACAAACAAAAACAGAAGACAATGGAGAGATGGAATGGGAAATTGGCAGATGCCAATAACACTTAAAAGAAGGATGTGAAACACATCCAGCTAGAAAAGTAACAATGAACGATTAATATTGTTAGGTTCTTTAATTGAGGATAAGGAGACTGGGTTACCTCGATCAGTTGTGATCAGGTGCAACCGAATCAATGACACCACTCTGACATGAAAGGACATAAAGATCATTATAGCAGGAAGAGGAGACCTGAAACTATGTAAAAAAGAAGGCAAAAAAAAAAAAAAAAAAAGCAAAAGCAAAGCATATGAAGACAAATCAAGAAAATAAGAAAATATAGAAAGGAACAAAGGATATCATAGAGAAAGAAAATCAAGACAAATAAATACAAGACAAAGCAGGATGATAAAATACAATGTTGTCAGAAGAAGTAACAGCATAATCTATGAATAGACGACACAATTATAATCACATTGAGGACTAATATATTCAGTAATCTGACAAAAATACAGTATAAGATGTGGAACCGGTTCAAAATAGACATAAAATGACAAGATAGAAATGACTTGACTACATCCGATGTGAAATTGACGATCCATATACACGAATTTTATATCCTACCTTTCATCTGATTATACCTGGCATAGATACCTTAGAATACATATAGAATATAATAGAACATACACAAGAGACACTATTATCAGAAGGGGAAAGGTAGTATGAGACCTAATCAAGTACGTAGCAACTCTAGCAAAAGTCTCCTGAAGAGACGAGTAAATCAATGCCTTGAAAAGAACTTGTGACTTATTGGCAGTTTTTTCAAAAAACTGAGCCAAGACATGCACAGGAAAACTCTCACAGCATTGTCTCGCTTGCGATGTTGAAGCCTTAACATCGGACAAAAGGCAATAAAACATAAGTTCCTGTCCTCATTTTTAAATTCATGAAATAAGCATGTAAGGGCATATCTCGCTGGATCAGCCCGATAAAAAATCCATATTGCAAGTCCATACATTACGAGGACAGGGATACCTTTCCCGAATACGAAAGATTCAAAGATATTCCATTAATTCTTTAACCAAACTACACAAATGATTGATTAACAATTTACTTCACTGTCAATTAGAATGGCGAACAGTAGGAATACTTAGCATCTCCCTGAGCCAACGTTGCCTAAGTGTCATCAGATGGTGCGATCAACAATTAGATGATCATCTTTTCAACACCAAATAAATTCGAATTGTCTTACTCCAATCTAAATAATTAGTTCCTTTCAATTTATGTTCTGTGATCTTATTCATTGCTGGGATCAATTCAGTAATAGTAGGTTTAGAATCTGTAGGTGGAGGATCCATTATTAATAAAAACTAAACACCCTACCAGCAACGCAGAAAGGTAACCTGAAACGCCAAATTGACAGAACTGAGTATGCCCCTACCAAAACTTCGTCGGATTGGAAAAACAACTACCTGAGTAGACTGCTGACATAAAAACGAAGCCAGAAAGCAATTTTCGATCGCCGGAAACAGTCGGACGCGCGGCCATACGCCGGCACGGGTTACTGTAGCAGAACCTTGTATCGGCGCGTGAGGCCCACGCGCAGGGAATTTGGTGACCGGATTTTGGGGGAAGACCGGTCGGCAGCTGGAGCAGCTCCTGGAGTGGGCGGTGAGACAAAAAAGTGACCCTAGAACAGTCACCAACACTGACAGCCACCACTGAGACAAAATAGTGACCCTAGAATGGTCACCAACACTGACAGGCACCGGAAACACTGACGGCCACCGGAATTTTCCACGCAACGGAAAAAAAAAATCAAGTTGAAAGAGCCACAGGCTCTGATACCATGTAAATTTAATGTGGGAAAATATTTTCTTATTTTTATTCATCAATAGGGACATACATATTAATTGGGAAAAATATTTTCTGATATTTTGATTCATCAATAGGGATACAGTAAGTTATATACAACATACAAGACATACAAGATACTATAAACCTATTTAGAATCTAACTCCTAATAGAGTTCTATTTACAACTCCTAAATAGAGTTCTATTTACAACTAATCCTTAACAATTACTTATGCATTTGAAGAATGTTTCCTTCTTATGTTGCCACTTCATTGTTGCTAGTACATGAAATGAATAACTTGATGCATTTGTTTGATTTGATTGCATTGGCAGGAGTTCTATCACCGTCTGTTGAATTCTGGAACAAAAATGGGCGATCTTCCTAGGATATTTGGGATGACAGCTTCTCCAATAAAGTCGAAGGGTGCACTTTGGCTACATATTATAACTTGATATTGCTTCATTTTATACTCTCTTTGTATTTTATTTTATTTTATTTTTTTATTTTTTTCACTTTTTTGTTGTTTCATTATCCAGGAGCAAACTCGGAATTGGCCTATTGGAACAATATTCGGGAGCTTGAGAATTTGATGTTTTCAAAGGTTTGTCTCTTTCTTACTGTTAGAATCTTTTTCGCCTGAATGTATTTGTGTTACCTTAAACGCTACATTGGTTTCTTTGGGTTTTTGATTGATATGTGGGTTTATACTAATGGATTCATTGTTCAAAAGATATTCGATTAAGGAGTCTGTATAGGCTTACTCTAAGAGAGATGTAACATTTTGGGGATCCTCTTTCAAATCAGTTGTGTATGTGCAATGATTCCTCTTTTTCCGTAGTTTTCTATATACTTTTGCTCCCTTTTCATATTTCTATCCCATTTTTGTTATTGATGCATCAGACTATCAAGGATACATTTTAGTAATCTTCTAGAATCAGAGACACAGATTGAAAATGTGAAATGGTAAAAAGGTTATTTAAGTTTGCTGTTATTAGAATTTGTAATTGATTTTGGTAAACTAGGATCTACAAATCATAAGCTAGTGTTTAAAAATACTTTGAACTTTGCCACAAGGGTTGCGTGCTAGCTGAGCCAAGAAGGTATAGCTTCCAAAATTACATCTATGCCATCTGGTGGCTTGGTCAATTGGCATTCTTACAGGCTGATCACCTATACAGCTTCTAGTCTTCTAAAATGTGTTCTATGGAGTTCTGAATGAACTTCTCATGGATAGAAATTGAAGTGTAATTTTATGAACTCAATAAAGTGATAAAAAGAGGAGAGGCAAGAGAGGGGGGGGGGAAAATAAAGTGTAAAAAGAAGGAGAGGCAAAGAGGGGGGCGGGGGGGTACAAGAACGAAAACTTAAACGGGGGGGGGGGGGGGGTACAGAACGAACTTAAACAGGTATAACAGTAATGGCTATTTATAATTCAACAAAAACATGTCATATTAACCTTTTATGTAATCAATAAGGGTAACCCAATGCACGAAACATCCCACATATGTGGGCTTTGGGAAGGGTTAATGTGCGCACCCTTTCCCTTGCTTTTGCAGAGAGGCTGTATCCTTGGCTTGAACCATAGCCTCCAGATCACAAGTGAGGTAACTTTACCATTATACTGATATGAAATATCTATTATTTATCTTTGAAATATATTTCAAATCTCTGACATGAAATAGATCAACCTGTTCTATATATAAGTAGAGCCAAAAAGCTCTATGTATTCATATCTATGTTCCATATAATATTTTGATGCATGGATAGAGTTTTTATTTTATAGTTTTATTTTTGGTTGTGAAATAATTTGGGTATTTATTGCTTTTAATAATGAAGGTGTACACGTGTGCTAGTGAATCCGTACTTGCGGAGTTTATACCATTTTCAACTCCAAAATTTAAATTTTACAAGCACGTCAACATCCCTTATCCTATATATGCAAGTTTAGCTGACATTTTGAATATTTTGAAGGCAAAGGTGTGTGATTCCTCTTTGGTTACAAGTTACATATTTGATTAGAGTAGATTGGTGGACTTGTCCAAGGATATTTTAATACTTGTATAAATTTGCAGTCTGAATGTCGCTTGAAGCAATCAGATCTTATTGATTCTGTGGTGGAATCTACAAAGAAGAGAATATCAAAAACACATTCTACTTTGATGTATTGTTTGGATGAACTTGGTGTTTGGTTTGCTTTTAAGGTATAGTTCAATCTCTTGATAATTGTATAACCATCATTATAATGATATTGGGATCACAATTTAATTTAACTTTCTTCAACAGGCTGCACATATCTTATCATGCCATGACAATGGCCTTCTTTCATGGAGTAAATTAGACATCTCTGATGAAAGTATTGCTAAAGAGTTCAGTTTGATTGCTTCACAAGAATTCGATAAATGTATTAAAACTGGTATGCTTTCTCTAACTTGGTAAGAGAATTGGTAGAGACCCAAATTCGTGATTCTTTTCTTATATCTCTTTTTTTCTCTTTCTTCTTCAGCTACTGAACATCTGGGCCCAACATGGTCTATTGGTGATAATCTTAAAGCTGATATCGATGCAGGGCTTTTGACTACAAAAATTTTTTGCCTCAGCGAGTCACTTCTTGAATATAGGTTGCCTTAGCGAGTCACTTATTGTCTGAAATTCTATGAACAATATAAAATTCTAATAGAGTTTCTAGTTGCTCCAATGATAATCTGATTGTGTTGATGGTTTCTTGGTTTGTGTTCAAACGCAGAGATTTAAAGGACATAAGATGTATAGTTTTTGTGGAAAGGGTCATGACAGCAATTGTTCTTCAGTCGTTTCTGAGTGAGTTGCTTCCAAGACATAATGGCTGGAAGACTAAATATATAGCAGGAAATAACTCATGTTTGCAAACACAGACAAGGAAAACACAGAATGAAATTGTGGAAGAATTTCGTGAAGGCAAGGTATATAATATTTCATACCACACTACTTTTTTTTTTTTTTTTTTTCCACACAGCTTTTTTTTTCTTTTTTTTTTTGCTGTGTGTGGAGGTATGGAAATGGACATATGTTTTGCCTGTGCTGGAATTCTGGAAAATGGACACAATTTTCAGGTGTTTTTTTTTTTTTTTTTTTGCTGTGTTGGAGGATGGAAATGACATAGTTGCCTGTGCTGGAATTTGGAAATGACACAATTCTAGGTGAATATAATTGTTGCAACTTCAATTCTTGAGGAAGGTTTAGATGTCCAAAGTTGCAACTTGGTGGTTAGATTCGACCCTTCAGCTACAGTGAGCAGTTTCATACAGTCCCGGGGTCGTGCTCGGATGCAGAATTCTGACTACTTGTTAATGGTGAAGAAGTAAATATTCTATTGACATCCTTCTTGAATTATTACTTTCTTTTTTTAATGCTGTGAATTCAAAGTTTTACTACAATTAATTAAGATAACATATAATCGATGCTATTATCTATATTTAGTCCCTTTCATCTTTTTGAATAATTTATAGGGGGGATCTTTCTACAAGTTCTCGACTGCGGAACTATCTTGCTAGTGGAGAGATAATGCGAAAGGAGTCTATACGTCATGCTACTGTTCCTTGTTCACCTCTTAGGAGTGAAATGTGTGAGGATGAGTATTATTGTGTCGAAAGCACTAAGGCAATCGCAACTCTTAGTTCTAGCATTACTTTGATATACATATATTGCTCACGTCTCCCTTCTGACGGGTTAGTCATTGGTTCTCTTTAATGTTAAAGCTGCTATGTTCTTCATTTATGATTAAATTATGTTATAGTCTTAAATTTATTTAACCTACTATCTTTGCCCCTCTCTCTTTCGAACATTCATATTTATGTCTCGTATTTATATCTGTGTTTATGTTTCTTTAGGTATTTTAAACCTTCCCCTAGGTGTCTTATAGACAAGGAGAAGGAGACTTGCACCTTGATTCTTCCAAAGAGTTGCCCCATACAAACTATTCATGTACAGGGAAATATTAAAACTTTAAAGCAGAAGGCATGCCTTGAAGCCTGCAGGCAACTGCACCAGATTGGTGCTTTAACCGATAATCTAGTTCCTGATATTGTTATAGAAGAGGCTGTTGCTCAAGAAGTTGGTAATTGATATTTGCATTTTATGGTTTTTGTCTTTTACAATTTCAAAATATTTCATATTGTCCCAAGAAGTCTCTGCTCTCTAAGTAAATGTTTTATCTGGATTTGTTTTGTAATTGTTAAAATGCACAGGGAATATACCATATGATGATGAACAACCTGTGTACTTCCCACCTGAGCTTGTCAGTCAAGGTTCACAGGGGTTAAAAACAAAGTACTATTGCTACTTGATTGAATTAAACCAGAATTTTGATCATGATATTCCTGTACATAATATTGTCCTTGTCATGAGGAGTGAGCTGGACCCAGATATCTCAAGTCTCAATTTTGACTTAGAAGTTGATAGAGGGCTACTGACGGTGAAATTAAAGTATATAGGGGAGATTCATCTTACTCCAGTGATGGTATGCTGCCTAATTTTATTCTTGGTCAGAGTTATAATATGTATTTGTAAAGTTACTCGTTCTTTTTGGATGTCTTCAAATTCTAATTTATACTTTGGTTTTATGTTACCAGGTCCTTACATGCAGGCACTTTTTAACTAATCTTTTCAAAGTTCTTATGGATCATAGTCAAAATAAATTGGAAGAGGTCTTAAATGGACTGGAGCAAAGGAATGCTTCCGAGATTGATTATTTCCTGCTACCAGCCATGATATCGTGCCAAAAACCTTCTATTGACTGGAAGTCTGTCACATCAGTATTTTTCCCAAATAAAAATGCTTTGAAGGACCATGTAAGCTGTCCTCTGAAGAATAGTGTACGTATTATACAAACCAAAAATGGCCCGGTATGCAAATGCATGCTTCAGAATTCTTTAGTATGCACACCGCATACCGGAAAAGTTTATTGCATCAAAGGTATATTCGATGACTTGGATGGACATTCAATTTTGAAGCTAAGGAATGGAGATTATAAGACTTACAAGGAGTACTACAGAGATCAGTATGTACTATTTATTTACTATCAACCTTTTCTCCCTCTCTTTTTTTTGGGTTTTTGTTGAGCGTATTAAGTATATAATATTCGTTAGTTGTAACCAATCTAACATGAAATTTCAGGTATGGTATCCAACTGTGTTTTGATCAAGAACTTCTTCTTAGTGGGCGACATATTTTTCCTTTGCACAATTATCTTCAAAGATGCAGACAACAGAAGGGGAAAGGTCTTATTTTTGTCTTAATGTTAAAATTTTTATGCTTTTCATTTACTGGTCTTATATTCTCATTTCACCTTCTCCTTTTTGCTTTTAGCATATTTCTAATTCAACTTTTTTTTCTATTGGAAGCAAAATATGAAATTAGGCTCGTAGGCAGGCTGAGTGAAGCAACATGATACTGGAGAATAAATATTACCACACCAAATATCAAATGTATTTAAAGTTACACCCTTGTTTGTTGGTATTTCAATACGCCTTCAAACGAATTTTCATTGGCATTCATGAACCTTCACTAACCAAAGAAAATTAATGCCTTGTAAACCTCAGTACCTCACTGAAGTAATTTGACCTGAAAAACAAAATTCAAATTCCTTCATTTCAAAACCTCCTTGCACTAAAGGAAATGTAATCCAAATTATATTTTAGATATTATGCCCAATTTTTGTGCTGTGTTTATTAATTTTTATGTTTTCTGTTGTTGCAGAAACACAAAATGGATATGTGGAGTTGCCCCCTGAACTTTGTTGCATTATTATGTCGCCTATATCAATCAGTACTATTTATTCATTTACGTTTATTCCATCGATCCTGCATCGGCTTGAGTCTTTGCTTATTGCTATTAACTTGAAGAAGATCCACTTGGATCAGTGTTTGCAAAATTTTACTATTCCAACCATGAAGGTACTCATCTTTTTGAACCCAGTTCAAACTCATTATTAACTAAATAAATCCTTTGGTGCCTTCAGCTTTATTGCAATGCTTTGAGACTGTTTATTGTTTTTGAAATGAGATGTACTGTGAAAATTTCATGTTTATGATGTTTCCACATTCTGCAATTTGAAATGTACTTTTTTGCCTTAAAAAGAATGTTTTTGAAAGTTATTGATTATTTCTTCTCAACCAAAGTCCAATTAGATGCTGTACTTATGTAAAAAAGCTGCATTTCGGTGGTTTAACTAAATAGTGTTGTCCTCTTTCAATTTGCAAGTATCATTTTCTTGACTATGTATTGCATCTCGTATTCTAAAAGTAGTGTATAAATCACATAGCTAGTTGGAACCATGCAGACTATACTTGCAGATGCATTGGTATAGAGTTGCATTAGTTATAGATATGGACTAGGTTATAGGTGGAGATAATCTCCAAGACTCGAGCAATATAGAAAATGTTAACCATAGTATGTACGTCATGTTCCAGGTAAGTTTTAGGATTTGATTTGTCAAGGGAAGCTTAGGGATGAGAACTTGCCTATGCTCCTCAATGCCATTCCTATGGTTACCTTTTGTAAGTGATGTAGCAAATGGTTACTTATGTCCAACAAGGCTAGGGGTTTAGAAGATAATTGTTCTCTTTTATTATTGAAGTCCTCTATTAAGATTTATTGTTGAAGTCCAAGTTCTCTTGATTTCTGATCATAATTTCTGTTGAATATAACCTTTTGTGGTTGATATATTAGACGCCCGGTTGAGTTGTTGTTCCATTTCTAATCCAAGTCTTGCTTGAACTATTTGTTGGACTTATTCTAACTCAATTCTATGTGGTAGGTTTTGGAAGCAATTACCACTAAAAAGTGCCAAGAGATATTTCATTTGGAATCACTCGAGACTCTCGGGGATTCTTTTCTGAAATATGCTGCTAGCCAGCAATTATTTAAAAATTACCAAAATGATCACGAGGGTCTTCTCAGTATTAAGAAGGACAAGATTATTAGTAATGCTACACTATGCAAACTAGGATGTGGCCGCAAACTTCCGGTAATATTTTCTTGTAAAGATTCACTAAATGATTTTTTATGTTCCATCCTCATGGATTTAATTACAGTTCTTATGATCACTGTATTTCAAATTGTCGTTATCATTGGCCTTTTAATATATATTTTGTACTTTCATAGTAGTTATGTGGAGGAAGCAAAGTTTGCAGTATTGCTATTATTTTCATATTTTCAGTTTTCATGTTCGCTGGATGGACTGCTTAAAATTTTATATTTTTCCTTATTGATTTGAATCTTAAGAGTAATATGAATTTAATTTAATTGATTATGTGGTTAGATTTTTTTTTTTTTTTTTTTTTTTTTTTTTTTTTTTTTTTTTTTTTTTTTTTAATTTAATGTTAATTGAATTTATTGGTTTAGATTTTTTTTTTTTTTTTTTTTTTTTTTTTTTTTTTTTTTTTTTTTTTTTTTTTTTTTTTGAGGATAGGCATATTGCTTCTGGTTTTTTTTTTTTTTTTTTTTTTTTTTTTTTTTTTTTTTTTTTTTTTTTTTGAGGATAGGCTAATTTGCTTCTGGTTATTTCTACTGCCCCCCTCGCATGTGCATCTTTTTATATATATATATTAAATTTTGTCTAATTATTGATTTTCTTAAAATGGGGCACAAGCCATATGTTAAATTGAAGATTGTTTGAGCACTTTTTGACAGTCAACTTATTTGAGAAAAATTTCACTAAAATGTTGAATTTTTATTTTTCTAGTACAGCAAAGTTCAAAACAGTAGGAGAAAATGGGTTTGCTGAATTGAATATGTATTGCTGAAATTCTTATGAGCTGTTTGCTTGTTTAATTCTTTTAAGGTGTATCATTTTTGCATAGGGGTTTCCTTATAGTGTAGTCATGATCATCAAACTTTTAGACATTGGTGGAAACCTGGAAATACCTTTGATCATCAAACTTTAAGACATTGGTGGAAAACCGGAAATACCTTTCTTATATTTCAATTTGTCAGTGTTGCATCATCTAAGCCAATGCTTGTGCTTATCCTTTCTTAAATTGCAGGGATTTATCCGCAATGAACCTTTTGATCCTAAAAATTGGATGATTCCTGGTGACAATTCTGGAAACTACTCATTAAATGAGGAGTTTCTATCTAATACAAGAAAAATATATGTGACTGGAAGAAGAAAGTTAAAAGAAAAGGTTGTTGCTGATGTTGTCGAGGCACTAATTGGTGCTTATCTTAGCACAGGCGGTGAAATAGCAGGCTTATTATTTCTAGATTGGATTGGTATTAAGGCAGAATTTGACAATATACCATATGTACGGCACTTCGAAGTTAAGGCAGAGAGGCTTGTTAATGTCAGTTATTTGGAGTCATTATTGAACTACCAATTTAGGGACCCTTCTCTGTTAGTGGAAGCATTGACTCATGGTTCTTACATGCTCCCCGAAGTTCCAAGATGCTATCAGGTAGTTTTAATTGTAATTATGATTGCATTCTGTCATTTATGCTATATTTATTGCATATGGCATTCTTTTGTTCTTTGTATCTCAAAATCAAGCTCAATAAGAGACTATGGATCTATGTAACTGAACCTGCTTTATTTCCAATATTTCACCGGTTTGTTTAAGGCTTAACTTAAACTACATTGTGTTTATTGGCTACCCAGCGGCTGGAATTTCTTGGAGACTCGGTGTTAGACTATCTAATTACAGTATATTTGTATAAGCAGTATCCTGGGATGTCACCAGGTCTGTTAACTGATATGAGATCTGCTTCTGTGAACAACGACTGCTATGCACAATCTGCTGTTAGGGGAGGACTACATAAATACATCTGCCATGCATCTCAAAAACTTCACAAGGATATTGCAATTGCAGTTGAAAATTTTAACAATGTTTCTTCAGCACCAACTTTTGGATGGGAATCTGAGACATCTTTCCCCAAGGTAATGCATTATTGCACTTAGCTCCATGTTGGTTGCTACTAGTTGTCAAACTGTCTTTGTCTTGCAATTTTGTTGATTCTCTGCCACTGTCATACAGTTCATGCTAATGGTTTTTTCACTTTTAAATGTGAGATTTTATTTGTTGCTGAGCTTTTGCCTTTATTGTTTGGACAATTTTTTTTTTCCGTTAGTTTCATGGAATGGATTGGATTCCAATAATGTGATTCAAGCTTTTCTTCAGTTAAATGAAGCCTACCATGCATTTTGGTTCTTGGTCAATGTCATTGTCTCTTTATAGGAAAATGCTGAAAGAATTCCATATGCAGGACAACCCCAATAAAATAATTCTGGATAATTAGAAACAAACTGAGAAATGTCTAGCAAACCTTAATTCCCTCATCTAATACTTATTTTGTTGCAAAATCTACCTCTCTCAGCATTATTTGAAGCATTCATCAACGTTCACCTATGTTTCAGGTACTTGGAGATGTAATAGAGTCTCTAGCTGGGGCTATTTATGTTGATTCAGGATACAACAAAGAAGCAGTCTTTCGGAGCATAAGGCCACTTTTGGAGCCTTTGATTACTCCAGAGACAATTAGATTGCATCCTGTGCGAGAGCTAAATGAATTATGTCAGAAAAATAATTTTGAAAAGAGCAAATCTGTCGTTCAGCGCAAGAACGGGATGTATTCTGTCACTGAAGAGGTCGTTGCTCATGGTGAAATATTTAAGCATACATCTGAGGCTGCTGATAAGAAAACAGCTAAAAGAGTAGCTTCCAAAGAGGTCTTGAGAGCCTTGAAGGATACCATCTACAGGATAAGTGCAGAAAGAGCAAAGTAGACCTTTGGGCAATTAAAAGCTGCTTTATAAGGGAGAGTTCTACCAAAAATGTAATAGATGACTAGTATTTGTACCATCAAAATGTATCAGGAAAAGTGCACTTATAATGTTACTTTAACTTAATAGAGTGCTTTTTCTGAGCATAATCCCCTGCATTTTATGGATTATTCTCTCTATCATTTCAATACTTATATTTCAAAGAAAGGAATTTTTTTTTTTTTTTTTTTTTTTTTTTTTTTTGGATTATTCCCTCTAGTCCATTTCAATACTTTATATTTCAAAAAAGGAATTTTTTTTTTTTTTTTTTTTTTTTTTTTTTGAAGAGGACAAAAGAAAAGGAGTTAAACTTTTAAATTTTTTTTTTTTTTTTTTTTTTTTTTTTTTTGAAGAGACAAAGAAAGGAGTTTAAACTTTAAAGTATACTTAAAATATTAATCAAACATAGCATGTGTATGCATAACCTAATGGTAATTAGCAATTTAAAGTGCATAAAAAAATAAATTAGTTGTAAAATAATTAAAGTAATTGAATATTCATCATGGATTTTTTTTTTTTTTTTTAGAAAGGGTATATTTATTTTTTATATTTGTTTAGAGTGAAAAATAAATAAATATATTAATAAAATCGAGTGGGATTTTCTGCTTAAAAAAAGGGCTATTTGGCAGGCGGCTTTATCCGTTCATTTTTTCGCTTTTGGAGATTTGAAGATTTAAGAAAGAAAAAGAGGGAGCTATGGAGGGCCTCGTGTGCCCTTTGTACAGCTCAAATACTGTACTGGCATCGGCAAAGCTATCGCATAATATTAAATCATCAGTTTTGCTGTCGGTGAATCCCTCTGTTTCATCTCCCCACCGCACCATTCTTGCATTTTCTTCAGTTCTCGCTACTTCTTCTCGTTTACCTTCTTCTAGTAAGTGAATTTTTATACCGCTTGATATGTTTCAATTTTTTTTATACAAAATATTTATGAGTAATATGTTCCTATGCTAAATAAAGATGGTTTCTCATTTTTTATTCAAATTGTTGAATGATTTTTGTTTTATAGTCTCACTTAGTTCCAATTCCTACCCAAAATTTTAAGTTTCTTTTCACTTGTTGAGAAAATGTGAAAACTTTGTAGTTGATAGCTGTACAACGGTTCATTTGTGTTCTTAACGCTGTTGGAAGCATCATTTGCTCGATTGCTTGCAAATTACTTAAATTGTATTGATTTATTGTTATCTAAATGCTACTTTTATGATTTTGGCATTCAAACTCGGTTTATTCATTTTTTCAAGCAGTAATTTATGCGGCACCAGAGAACCAGTTAGATGTTGGGGTTGACACGGAGACAGGGGAATGGGCAATGCAAGGTATTTTCCTGGCACCATGCATTCCAACTCATTTTAGAATAAGATTTCGTATTTTTGAGGTATTAAAATTATAGTTTATGGGGATAACAGATGCTATATTTGAAGAAAAAGGCAATCTTTGATTATGATGCAAAAAAGCAAAGTAATTTTTAAAAAGAAAATTATTTTTTGTGAAATAAAATTAATTATCTGCTTAAGCTGCTGTTTTCTTTTCTCATATTGAATGAAACCCATATATCTATTGAGTATCCTATTTACAAGTTTCATTTTTTTAAGTAACAAAGTCACAATGGGTTAAAATGTACCTTGAATCTGTTCTTCCTTTTTGATATATGTTGCTCATGTTTTCTTTGTCACTTCTTCAATTATAATTTACTGAATTTGTGAGGACAAACATGGCAATACATGTGGAAGTATTGTGATTCATCAATTTTATCAGTTTACTGTTAAAAGGATTAGTTTTCTCGCTGATTGATCTGAGGATAACTATCTGACTATTTCTAAAACACTTCTGATCCTCAATGATATTCTTATTGATGAATTATTAAAATGTCAAAATTTTCCAAGGTCTTCCTAGCAACTATGATCCTCACAGAAGCCTTGTTGATCTGAAACAAAAAATCTCATCAAGCCAACACTATGAGCCTATAATTTCTACTACCTCTTGTAGCTTTCAATTTGCTTTCTGTTGTTACATTTTTGGCAGTTTGCAAATTCTGATAATCTTGAACTTTTGGTAGTTTCTTACGTCAAGATCATTAACTAATGTTATTAGACTTTCTGGAAAAAAGTGAAATTAAGAAAGGTCGAGGTGTTTATCTTTTATACAGCTGACAATTGCTGATAGCATTTTACCGTCTACAGTGGAATATCGTCGGGCTTTTTTTCTAAAGGAACTTTCTAAATGTGCAATTACTTCTTGCAATGTTGTCATTACTGGCAGATTTCTATAGCTTGAGGAGGGATGTTGAAGCTGCCTCAGAGCGTGTTGAAGAGATTATTGCCTCTGCTGGTATGCAGCTATTACAACAAGAACTTGCAGGTTTAGAAGCGAAAGCAGCTGATAGCTCCTTATGGGATGACCGTGCTAGAGCTCAGGAAATCCTTTCGGCTCTCACAGATGTCAAAGATAAGATAAAACTATTGACTGAATTCAAAACCATGGTATGGATTTTTCTTCATTATCTTATTGAGAGATTGCTTGATTTATGTCACTGACAGTTGGATAGAATAGAAGTCTTTTGACTTTTAGCTGTCTGATATAGAGGGAGCATAATATGCTAGTTATTCAAAAGAAGGGTTATTTTCAGTTGCATCAAGGATACTGATTACTGTAATTGCTGAAATTGTGAATGCTAGGGATTTTAAATAAATTGTTTCTATATCATAAAATGTGGCTGAGATGCTTAGAACCTTTTTCTATCCACCTAAGAGTAAAATATACTACTATCTATATAATTGTTTCCTTAGATGATGTCCTAAGAGTATGAGGCTTGTGCATAAGTTTGGTGTAGCTGGATTTAATAAAAAGCAACCTGCTGAAGCTCTGTTAATCACCTTCAAATGTACTGTGGATATGATCTGTTAGGTATTATGCTCTGAAAGTCACCTTCAAATGTATTGGGATATGATCTGTTAGATATTATGTGCTGGATGCAGGTTGAAGATGCAGAAACTATAGTTAAGCTAACAGAAGAGATGGACTCCACAGATGCTGGACTTCTCGAAGAGGCAACTGCTATAGTTAAAGAATTAAACAAGTCATTAGATCGATTTGAGTTGACTCAACTTCTTTCAGGCCCCTATGACAAAGAAGGTGCTGTTATATCTATCACAGCTGGTGCTGGAGGCACTGATGCGCAGGTAAATAGTTATTGCATGTACAGGACACTATTATGGAAATATAGATTCTTTAATGATTGATTGATATGGGGCAAATTTTAGTTTTTGCCACTGTGTAAAAGCATGATCTGCCATCACTTGACAAATTCCGGGAAAGTAAAGTTACTAAGATTGTGCCCTTCCCTGCTGGTTTGACATTTTAATTTTCTGATTGTCAGACTTACTCTTGTTCCATAATGTTTAATATATGAATTCAATTAACAATAAAAAAGATAGATAGGAAACATTACAAAGAAAGAGGATGAAAGGTTTGGGAGGAGTTCTACCCTTGTGACTTTGGAGGTTACAAGTTGATGGACTCAATGAATGTAGTTTACTTAAAATAAAATTTGTTTTTGTCATCATGTGTATGCAGTTTAGCTTTTAGCACCTGTTGGACATATTGCAAAGAGCGATCAGAAAAGTGAAAAATCAATGCTGACATAGTCGGCCTTATATTGAAACAAAAACTTTGCAAATTACTAAACCTAAAATGTTAACTGGGCAGCATGACGGGAAATTACATAGTGCTGATAGTATACCTTGTTTCTACCAAGAACCTAATTCTCCAAAAAATGACTTAACCTTCTCATCCTTTCACTAGTGCTTAATGTGTCATCTGTTCAAGAGTAAAATGGAGACTGTCTTTGCTCAGATTTCTGATGCTTTGTTTTTTCATGAAAAGCAAACAAATCCTTAATGGTAATTAATGTATCAGGTGCCTGTTTCTATAATATCTATTGCTTTTCTTAGCATTTGTTACAGCCATGGGGTTAATAATAAGGTTTCTGTAGTTACCTATTCATTGTCTAGTTAATGATGAATCTCAAAGTTCATTTTGTCCCTTTTCCTTTTTCAAAATCTTTCATCATTTCCAGTGCAGGACTGGGCTGACATGCTTCTTAGGATGTATCTGAGATGGGGAGAGAAACAACGATACAAGACAAGAGTGGTAGAAAAGTCCCCAGGAGAGGAAGCTGGAATTAAGTCAGTTACCATTGAAATCGAAGGCCGTTATGCTTACGGATATCTATCTGGGGAGAAAGGAACACATAGAATTGTACGGCAATCTCCTTTCAATGCCAAAGGTCTTCGTCAGGTAGGTAGTTTCTTCTCCTTCTAAGAGGATGGTAATTTGAAATAGGAGCATTCCCCAGAATTCATAGTGTTGGAATTTTTATTTATTTATTTATTTATTTTCGAAATAAGAAAAGGGTAATTACAGAACTTCTATGGTTGGCACCCAATCAAAACACCCTGCTCCCCACCAAAAAAATAAAAAAAAAAATCTCTCTCTTGTCCTCGTAAGAGAGAAATTCATATGTTCTAACGATTAGTTATATGCACAGACTAGCTTTTCAGGTGTTGAAGTCATGCCTCTTCTTCCTGAAGAGTCTATGGATGTTGAAATACCTGAGGAGGATCTGGAAATCACTTTTTCAAGGGCAGGTGGGAAAGGAGGCCAGAATGTAAATAAGGTTGAAACTGCTGTCCGGATTACTCACATCCCCACTGGTGTCACTGTTCGCTGCACAGGTATCATTGCCTATACAATCTACATAAAATTCTTCATCTGGTTCGATCTTTTAAGAAGTTTTAATCTTGAAGGCAAATGGCAAAATTTGTTTGTCACTGAAAATTTTCTTTTTTGGGTTCTATTGAATGCAAGGCCAGTGTGATGAACCCACAACCACCAGTCTCTCACCTAAAATTTTATCAGGAGCACCAACTAGGTTATGCCTGTTTGGTTCACCAAAAGCATTTAAAGCTTCAATAACAGACATTTAAGCCAGCCAATTGATGGATACATCTTTGTGCTTTTGGCCTATGTACGGAGTCAAATAAGAGAGAGTTGGGGAAGAGAAGGAAAGAGTGTGGAGTGTTGCATCCATAATTGTCTGGTTCATTAGCAGTGGAGAATACAGGCGGAGTAAAATGAATACCAGTGTGGCACTATGCTTGTCCTACATTTGAAATTTAGAGTTAGTTCATGATGTTTCAGCTTTCATTTGGAACTCTGAATGCTAACATGCCTTTTTCTCCTACTTACCTGAACTTTGTCAAGTATAAATTACTCATCAGGCAGTTTTTATCAAATTAGGTTTACCTTTTCTTTACTGCATTGCAGAAGAGAGATCCCAGCTTGCGAACAAGATCAAGGCTCTCAGCCGGTTAAAAGCAAAGCTATTGGTTATAGCTGTGGAGCAAAGAGCATCTGAAATCAAGCAAATAAGAGGAGATGCAGTGAAAGCTGAGTGGGGCCAACAGATAAGAAACTACGTATTCCATCCATACAAACTTGTCAAAGATGTACGGACAGGATTTGAGACATCGGATATTAATTCTGTGATGGATGGAGAATTAGAGCCCTTCATCAAAGCTTACCTCAAGTATAAGTACAGTATGGCAATGTCTGCAAGTGGGAGTAATTGATAGATAGATTTATTTTGTTTACATGCTTATTTCTGTAAAACTAATTAGCTTATCTTCATATCATACAAGTCAGAGATGGCGTAGTTAAAATCAGATTTGTGTGCAAAAGCCGGTATATTTGGCAGCAAATGAATAGTCTGTTTGTAAAATTTAGATAATTAGAATACAATTACCATTCAACATAATCTTCATGTTTCACTTAATTACCTTATGGTGAAACTGTATATTCCATCATTCTTTTAACCATTTGTCCTCCTCATGAATAGTTATTTATTCATTTGAGCTCGGTTGGTTCCCTTGATGAATAGCTCATTTATTAATGAGCTCCATAGCTTCAGCTCGAGAAGCTTATCAAACAAACTCGAGCAAGCTTTTATCGAGCCTAAGTTTATAAGGGTGAGCCTTGAACCCTTCACGAGCGGCTCATCTCACATACAATATTCCTAGTTAACACAAAAAATTGATAAAAATGATAAATCATTCTTGAAATTGCGGGTAAGATGCTCGCCTTATCTTTTTACTGACTACATCTTTTCATCTGAAGATTTAAAGATATTTTTAGAAACACGATATAAATCTAATTATATCTTTTATAATGTTTTCCTATTTAACGTTGAGCTAGCGCGATCTGGTGATGACTGGGTGTCGCTTTCTTTTCTACCTGAAAATTTCGTGCATTTGTGGACATAATGCATAAATTAATATATATATAACCATCATTCAGATAAATTAATTGCAAGCTGATGCTTTTTTCTATACTGGTTTATATTAATCAACCCTATGACATGAACCAATGCACCTATTACACAAATATTGTACCTTAAAATACAAAGGCTTATTATCTGATACGTGCACGCTTCAATCTGCATTTGTAAATGCAAGATAAGTTGGCAAATCAAACCTATTAAACCCATTAAACTTGCTTGCAAAAGAAGTTGTGTAGGCACCCATATTATAGAACACAATCAAATCATTGACTTGTAGCTCTGATAGCTCGCACCCACTTATCACAACGTCTAATGAATCACAGGTCGGTCCGAAAATGGTCGAGGAAGTAATTGGACCTGCTCCATCTTCATTTTGCAGCAAAACCTTATACATCAGAGAAGCAGGATCATTTGCTGCAAGCTTAAACGATCCATGTATCCCATCGTCAATCCAATAATCAATTTCCTCACCTCTCATTCGCTTCCCAATAACATTAGTCACCAGAATGAATGGCGTTTCTGCAAAATATCTGCCTGGTTCTGCTATAACTGTCAGAGATGTCATATCATTTGAGAAAAATTCTTGAATTGAGTCGTTTACAGTTTTAACTATCTCATCAAATAATGGGTTCGCCCTAAACCCGCCACCAATATTAAGAATACGCATTGCAGGCATTTCGAGCTTAATGGCAGTATCAAATGCAAATCTTGCTGTAGCAATTGCGCTGTGATACACTTGTGGGTCTGATGCTATAGAACCCACATGGAATGACATTCCAACAACTTTAAGACCAGCCTGGTTTGCATGTTGGAGTAGAGAAGCCACCTCCTCAGTTAATGCACCGTATTTGTTACCAAGTGGACGCCAGCATGAACTTTCGTTTGGAACTTTAAGTCTAAGTAGTAGTTCACATTTTGGATGCCATTTTTTTATCTTATCAACTTCTTGCTTGGAATCAAAGGTTGTCAGGTTGACTCCAACCCTAGCTGCATATTTTATATGGGACACAGACTTGCATGGATTGGCATACACAATCCTGTCAGGATTAACACCGAGGCCAAGTATGGTTTCAATCTCAGCTTGACTTGCACAGTCAAAGTTTGCACCGAGTGTTGCAAGTGATAGAAGTAATGCAGGCACTTGTGGGTCTGATGCTATAGAACCCACATGGAAAGACACTACCCAACAACTTTAAGGACCAGCCTGGTTTTGCATGTTGGGGAGAGAGAAGCCACCTCCTCAGTTATATGCACGCGTAATTTGTTAGCCAAGTGGACGCCAAAGCATGAAACTTTCGTTTGGAACTTGAAGTCTAAGTAGTGAGTTCACATTTTTGGAAGTGCCATTTTTTTAATCTTATCAAACTTCTTGCTTGAATCAAAGGTTGTCAGGTTGACTCCAACCCTAGCTGCATATTTTTATATGGGACACAGACTTGCATGGATTGGCTATATCATTAATCCGTCAGGATTAAGCACCAACCAAGAAGGCCAAGGATGGTTTCAATCTCAGCTTGACTTGCACAGTCAAAGTTTGCACCGAGTGTTGCAAGTGATAGAAGTAATGCAGGCTCAGTATTGCATTTAACGGCATAAAAAGGTTTTACATTTGGCAGAGATTGATTCCATTTATCCATTAGTCTTATAACAACCCCTAAATCAATAAGATAAAAGGGTTCAGCTTCTTCCTGATTATCAGAAATAGACTGTGTAAGACTATCGAGGGAACCCTTTTCAATCTGAAAAACTTGTTGGCCTTTCAACCTGTTAGCCTCTGATATGACTTTTAGGCTGCAGGATTTAAGAGCATTAGCATCAACCATATTGAAAGCCATAGATAGAGGAGCAGTTTGGTATTGAGAGAAGGCTATGGAAGAAGATTTGGGATGATGGACCTGTACTTCATGCTACCATACTTATAGCCACAGCGAGCGAAGCAATAAGCTACAATCCTCGTTCACTCAACCATAAAATATAAAAGTCCCTGATTAACCCAAACTCGTTTTTTTTTTTTTTTTTTTTTTTTTTAATGTGTTAAGTTGACGATTTTTTTTTTTTTTTTTTTTTTTTTTTTTGAAAAATTGTGTTAGTTGAGATGTTAAAATATTATATAAAGATGATATAAATCTAAGCATATCTTTTATATGATTTTGTGTTCAAAGGTTTGGTGGCTAGTGCAATCTGATGGTGGCTGGCTAGCTTCAGTTTCTCCTTTTACCATTGTTCCAGTTAAAAGGTTCCTCTTTTTCATATATTCTAAAGGCAATTATTATCTAATATTATTATTTTGAATAGAAGGTAAACAGAATATATTAATGATAGGAAACCCTTTTTTTTTTATACAATGAAGGGGATGAAAACCCAAAAAAGAAAGACGACAGATGAATAATGAATATTCACCAACTGAGGTCAAACAAGCCCCTGCCTATCCCATCTCAAAAAATCCATAATCTCATTCTAAATGACTCCCAATAATGGCCTCTACAGCTAAATTAGGTGCACTATCTGCCATTTTTGGAAGACAAACTTCATTGATTTACGGAGATTTGGCGAACAAACTTTAGAATAGTTCTTGTATAAGTATTTTCTTAATGCTATATTGAAGATAAGATCTTTTCTCTCCACTCTCATATAATTCTCTGCTCAATTTTCCCTTTTCTTTCTGAATTCTCTGCTCTTATAAACCAACACCTTAAAGAAGGGATTTTAAGACAAACTGCTCTTATAATTCCTAAAATTGATAACTCAAGCCAGCAGTTTCTATATCAGTAATGTAATTAATTTACTGCATCATATTCTATTGCCTGAGGACTTGATCTATTGGTGCATGCATAAATTAATATATAGATGTGGGAATAGTATATAAATCCCTACAAAATTTATAAATTGATTCCATTGGTTGAAAAAATTAAAAGTAATTTAATTCTAATTGATTATTAATATTCCTATTTGTCGCAAACTTGGACTTATTATCAGATTCAAAGTTTTTCCATTTACCGTAAATTTCAACTTATTACGAGGTTCGAAAAGAATTAAATTATGGATTAAATACCGAATAACAGATTGATTTGATAATTATACGATGAATTAACTTGATAATTATACGCTAATACATGATGATATGAGCTAGGATAAAAGAGAAAGCAATTAAAATAATTTTTCCGAGTTGTTTTGACTCTAATTTATATTGAAATTACAATAATATTAGTGTTTTTAACATGTGTCCTTCACAGTCTCCAGCACAAGTGAAACAAAGAGAAAGCCAAATTAAAAGAGGTGTCGCAATGTTTAGATCAATAGTAATAATATTTTTGTTGCTTTTACTTTTTTTTGGCAATTTATTTATTTTCATAATTAATATTCTTTAGGTAATACCTAACTCTAATCTTCAAGCATTTTGACAAACAAGAGTTTTAATACCAACAATTAATAAAATAAAATTAATATAAATATAAGTCTGAATTATTTAAATATAAATTCATTAGTTAGTATATAGTCCATGCTAAATTTATGAATTGATTATATTGGTTAAAAAAATAAGAATATTTTAATTTTGATTGGTCATTAATTTTCATATTTAAATATAAATTCTCTAGTTATATATTTAAATGTAAAACTTTATATGCAATTATTTTATTACAAAATGGATTAAATTTATTTATTTTAAATAATTTATCATTTTATATGTTATTTATTTTTTAAATATAATAATACTATAATAAAAATATAATAGAAATATATTAATTATATCAAATGAGATCAAGTGGTTAGACAAATACTATTTACAATTTGCATCGATCATATTATTTTATTACTAAAGTTTCTTAGTATGTTTGGTTAGTATAAATGAATAAATAATATTTATTTCAATAAATATAGTCTATTAAGATTAAGTCGATAAATATTTATTTACAATAAATTTTATTAATGGTAAGTTGATAACATATTATTTTATATGTTGCCAATTATATTATTTTTATATTATAAATATATTAAATTATTTATATATTAGGAATACTAATGGTGAAGTTTTATTCAATTCTAATTAGGAATTATAATCCGGCCAAATACATAAATTTGACCTAAACTTTGGCTACTTATCCTTAGTACTCATGGAATTTAGTGAGGATTTAATCATGACCATTTATTTTGATATTTCAACAATAATTATGTCATTCAACAAAATGAAATATCTTTATAGGATTCAATCATGACTTTACGCTTCCGCATTTTATTTTCGAGAGGAACATAATGATTATTAAAATTTGAAAGTGCAGGGTCAGATGAATTCCCCGCATAGTTCAGGGGGCCATAAGAATAATCGTTGAAAGTACATGGTCAAATTCATGCATTGAGCTATTAGAATTCTATCGTGGAAAAGTTTTGTCTTTTATATATATATATATATATAGTTTTAATTGCTTTTGCCTATCAAGAAAATATTTATTTTTCTATCAATAATTTTTGGTTTTGCCATCAAGCCTAATACTTGTTTTGTATATTACTGCATATACTATTTAATTATTTTTTTAATAA